ATTATAATATATTGTATTATTGGGTGGCTGTGGTGCAAGTAGGAGATTGAATCAATTAGTGACTTAATCTGTTATGCAACTCAGGATATTCAGTTAAGCTTTAACTGAATATCTGCCTATGTTGATGACATGTAGACTTCTAAGCAAAATAGTCCTCCCACAGCTCCCAAGTTCAGGACACGCACCATCACGTATTCGGGAGAGAAGTGGTAGACAAAACGACACTAACCTTTATTCTGCAGGTTTACCATCTCGTGGCAATACCAACGACTATGGCTGGGGATATTTGGGCGATCCTAAAGCTTCCGCTGTAACGAGGCAGGTTACTCGTTTACTACAGTTTGTGTTAGTCTTAATATTATTATCTAACAATTGTTGTATAGGACCAAATTAAATATTATTGAGAAATGGATTGTTGTGTTTCACTTACCATGATGAACTCCCTTTTAACTTGATGGAAAGCTCATGCAGTTTGTCATAATCAATGATAGGATACTCCCTAAAAACATGCACGTACTCAAAATGTTACGTATATATATATAGAACTTGCTTCTATTGAAATTATTAATTATACTCCGATCTGTATTTAATTTATCATCTTAAATTTAATTTTAGGGGAATGGAACAAATTAAAGTGGATTTGCATAGCAGAAGATGGAGCTTACAGAGTATCAGTCATATCATCTAAGATGGCAGCAGACTGCATCAGAAACGTAGAAATCAAATCGATGAAGAATGTTTTGTCAGGTGAAGTATCCTTCAGCCCGTAGCTCAACCTGAAATACTCATCAACATAGCCCTGCACCACCAAAAGATCAATGAGAATCCGCACTCCATTTCGCAACAGAAATCAAAATCCAATTCCGCAAATTCATAAACCAAAATCGAAGAGCAACAAACAAAAAAACTGATATCTGATAATATAATGAATCGATCAATTGTTACTTCTCGCTCTAGCTGTTCAATGTGAGCAATCATCTGTTGCTTGAGAAGATCCACTACCGTTTTTCCTGACCCTAGAGAGAATTGAAGAAAGCAACCGGAAAAAATTAAAAAAAAGTTGAACAGAGAATGGAGAGAGTTTGAGCGATGAGAATGTTTGAAGTGTAATAGACAAACCGCAGGAGGAGGATTGGGCGAAGTGAGGAATGTTGCGTGAAGCGTCCATAGCGTCGAGCTGTAGAGATCAGTTGGAGAGAGAGAGAGAGAGAGAGAGAGGGCTCAAGTAGTTTTGCAGGTTTTCCCTCGTATGAATCACCTCTATTTAAATTGGTTTACGCCTGGGTTGGGGAAGAAGAACACAATGTTATCCTTAACGATGGGTATTTTTTTTTTAATTTTATTCTTAATTCATAAGTATTATATTCTTTTAAATAATTAATTTTTGTAATTTGTAATAACTATATCTATAATCTAATTATGTTGTCCAAATATTTCAAAAGAAACCGAAAAATCTTGTTATTAGATTGTGAATTTTGTATTTTGTAATAACTATATCTATAATCTAATTATGTTGTCCAAATATTTAAAAAGAAACCGAAAAATCTTGTTATTAGATTGTGATTTTGCCAATGATAGTGGGCAAATTATGCTGTGCATCCGTATGCACCATGCATGGTGCATACGGATGCAAAAACGACGTCGTTTTAATGAAACGCGCGTCTCCCCTTAAAAAAAAATCAGGTTCGATTCCCAGCAACAACATATGAACTAAAATTCCATAATCGATGAACTATAATTCCATAATTGATGAACTATAATTCCATAATCGATGAACTATAATTCCATAATCTAATCTATGAACTAAAAATTCCAGAATGAATGAACTAAAATTCCATAATCTATAAACTAAAATTTCAGAATCGATGAACTACAATTCCATAATCGATGAACTATAATTCCATAATCAATGAACTATAATTCCATAATCTATGAACTAAATTTCCAGAATGAATGAACAATATAATGTTGTTGCTGGGAATCGAACCTGAATTTTTTTTAAAGGGGAGACGCGCGTTTTTTAATAAAACGATGTCGTTTTGGCATCCGTATGCACCATGCATGGTGCATACGGATGCACAGCATAACGATTGATGATAGTGACACGAAGTGGCTCTGGGTTCAATCCCTAATTGGGGCGGTATTAATTCTTTGTACTCGATCCAATTAGTTGAGAAAGTAGCTATGAATAGATACTACATTGTAAACAGAGTCCGTAGTGCTCAAAAAAATTGTGATTATAATATCTAAATCAAATTTTATAATTCGTCGAGTATTATATATATATATATATATATATATATATATATATATATATATATATATATATATATATATATATATATATATATATATATATATATATATAGAGAGAGAGAGAGAGAGAGAGTTAAGTTCAGGTGCGGCCGCACCAATAGTTAAGCAAATATACACAATCAACGTTAGGAAATGCAATTCAAAAACACACACAAATTAGGTACGCATCACCAAATACGCACCACTTCGTATGAATAAAAGCACCACACAGTGTTCAAAAATACATTATTAGGGGTAGGGAGATATATATATATATATATATATATATATATATATATATATATATATATATATATATATATATATATGGTGTATTTTTTGGGTGTGTTGTGTATTTTTGCATTTCATTGTTGTGTATTTCTCTTACACTATTGGTGCCTATTGTTAACTAACACTATTGGTGTATTCCGCAAACGGCCGCACGGGAGGGTGTGACCGCATTTGAGCAAACTTATATATATATATATATATATATATATATATATATATATATATACACACACACACACACACACACTTTTAAAGTATTTTGTGATAAATATACATAATTATATTGTCCAAATATTTTAAATAAATAACAAAAAAACATAAAAGGTTGTTACTAGACTAATTATATATAACCAAGATTATGTGGTCTAATGGTACTCAGGTTGAATTTTTATTTTGAAGATTGTGAGTTCGAGCCTCAGTGGAGGTGTTATTGGTTCTTTGTGTTTTAGTAGGTTGAGAAAGTATTTGAATAGATATTGTAATAGAGCCAATAGCATTCAAAAAAAAGACTGATTATAATCCTATTATATATGTGTAATCTTTTATTTGTGAGTTTAATTTGAAATTTTTAATAGGACAAAATAATTTTTTAAACATTATATTATGATAAAACATAAAAGAAATTGGAATTCATTATTCAAATAAAAGAATAAAAATTTATCTTTAAATTATTATCACATGACGTTGTAAAAGAATTGTGATGTAATTATTACAATGTATAATGATTTTACCTTTTTTGGTTATTATACATTTGCCATATATGGTATAACAACTAATACTAACCAACATCAATTTTTTTCTAAGTTGGATAATATAATTAGAACTAATTTTCATAATGAGTTAATACCCAAAATCGTCCTCGACTATAGTAGTTTTTCTCAATTTCGTCCTAAACGACTTTGGTGACCTAATATCGTCCCAGACTTTTGTGTTTCGCTCAATTTAGTCCTCCATTTGTTATTCCGTCAAATTGGTGTTAAATAAAGGGACAATTCAGTAATGTCAATATTGATCTCTCTTTACTTTCAACTTGTGAAGTGCGAAATTCCTCTTTCTTGTACGAATTACACCCAGAATTACTCCCAGACCTGCAAATCAAATTTTATATTCGCAGTTTTAGAAGTAATTCTGGGAGTAATTCGTAAAAAAAAAGGATTTCGCAGTTCACATGTCTATGAGTAAAGAGATGCCAATATTAAAATTACTGAATTGTCTATTTATTTAACACCAAATGGACAGAATAACAAATGAATGACTAAATTGAGCAAAAACACAAAAGTCTGAGACTAAATTGAGCGAAACACAAAAGTCTGGGATGATATTAGGTCACCAAAGTCGTTTAAGACGAAATTGAGAAAAACCACTATAGTCGAGGACGATTTTGGGTATTAACTCTTTTCATAATACACAAAATTTCATATTAAATTCTTAATTTTTAAAATTTTAAATATAATTGGTATGGGTTATATTCCAATTACTCTATTTTGTATTCCATTTTCTCTTTTCATTTTTCCTCTAATAAAATAGAGCATGTGCCCAGAGTAATAATACTTAGCATTTTATAAAAGTTTAGGCAAAAACGATAATTTGGGATGTTAAATGACAAAAATGATAGTCTGAGATTAAATTTGAACTTACTATCAAATACAAGGGACCTCCGGTAGAATTAACTCTAAATAAAAACACAAAAAGAATGTTAATTGTCTAGCAACATGGGAATCGCGGAATAGCATAAGTAAATCCGAGTAGATATTTTCACTACTGGAAATTATGAAATTTCCGACCACCTGAAAGTGATCTTAAATCAAGTTGATACCAAAAAGTGGTCGGAAATAGCAACAAAGATTTTTCCGAATACCAAAAGTGGTCGGAACAAGGCTTTCGACTTGATTTAAGATCACTTTCAAATGGTCGAAAATTCCATAATTTCCAGTAGTGTTTTATCGATTAAGCAGAGCAAATTAATTTTCTTATAAAACCTACTATGTTCTAATTATATTAATTGTCAATATAAAATGTCTGCCATTACGTCAAAAACTATAACTAAAAGAAAATAGTCAAATACATAATTTTATTTTCTTATATTATACTTGTATAGTATTCTGCGTACATTGAGTCATTTATTGAAATTTTAACGGGCCCACAAAATTTAATCGAAATTGAATTATGGTGGTCATAGACTAATTTGGTTAAGGCATTCCAAAAAAAAAAAAAAGAAAAAAGAAAAAAAAAGACTAATTTGGTTAAAAAGTAAATGAGACTCTATCCAAATGAAGTATATCGCACAAAGTAATTATATGCACATGCAAATAAGAAAATATATTGTAAATGTCATGCCGGATATAGCAATCTTATACAGAATGTGTTTGAATAAGAGTTAAATTTTTTGGTAAAGTGTCATTCGGCACCATGAACTATATCGGATTATTCATGCCGCACCCTGAACTTTCAAAAGGTATATTTTGATCCATGAACCAATAATTTTTTTTCATCTAGCATTTTTTACAGGTTACCTACAGGTTGCAGGTAATTTATGCTGACATGAATTTTTTTTTTTTTTTAAATTACCAAGGGCGTTGTCCATCACGTTCTGCTTGTATATAAAGAAGTAGTCATCGTCTAGGAGCTCCAGCTGCCACTGCTCCTTCAATCTCTCAAGCTCTTTCCTCAACTCCCCTACGTTTTCCGACGCCTCCACCGGAAACTTCTTCGTCTCGCATTGCGACGACACCAATATACGAAGCTTCTTCAATTTGAACTGTTCGTGTTCTTTGATAATCCAGATGAGGCTGTTGTAGTCGCGGGTAATGGCCTAAAGCTCACGTCCACTTTGGAGTGATCGGAGAGTTCGTAGTCATGCAGTGTCCAGTAGTCTAACAACTCAACTCCATTCGCGTAAACCGTTATTCTACTCACTGGAATGCCATCCATTTCTTCAATCCTCTCTTTCAACTTCCTAATGGTATTGGTGACTGCAGCGGCAACATGCAGCTGCTGCTGCTTGTCGGTATCTAAATCGGAGGCGGCCACGACGAGCTGGACGTGAGAATGTGATCCTCTGACCATTTTTCATTCCCTTATCGCCAATAACTTCCAATACCTTCATCTCCTGCACAACCTTCTCACCCTTGCATTGACGGCACCTGTCTTTATCGCTAATAGTTTCGCCAGTTCCCTTACATTCATTGCAGGGATGTTGAAATGAGGTTTTTACGTCAACCCTGAACTAAGCTGGTCATTGCTGGAAATTATGAAAATTCCGACCACCTGAAAGTGATCTTAAATCAAGTCGAAAGCCTTGTTTCGACCACTTTTGGTATCCAGAAACTTTTTATTGCTATTTCCGACCACTTTTTGTTTTTGACTTGATTTAAGATCACTTTCAGGTGGTCGGAAATTCCATAATTTCCAGTAGTGTGTTCATCATTCGCATCCGTGGGTATGAACACTCTTCTATTTTGTGTTGATCATACAGTGTTACAGTTCCTTTTAATTTACTACAATTCATTTATCTTGCTTCTCATGGGATGGATTCCAGTATCAATGCCATGCACCCAAATACTAAAAAGATATTGCAGTTTTTCCGTCTAAGACAGGTGAATGGTCTATTACTTTGTAGAAAATTTTCTATGTAATTGTTCTGATTCATCAACTTGATTTCAAAGGTACCCAAATTTGAAGAGTGTAAGGGACTTGATTTACAAGAGGGGTTATGGCAAGGTGAGCAAGCAGAGGATTGACTTGACAGATTATAACACTGTTATTGAACAAGTATGCTTGCTTCCACAAGTTAAGTTGCATTTTTCGATAGACTGTGCCTACTTTATGGATTCTTTTTTATTTTTCAGACTCTGGGAAAACCAGAGCATGTCATTGAAGCACCGGATTTCAGATTTGGACCCTTTACCCTTGCACTTTGGGCATAGCACATTACGGGACAGGGATAGCTTCTTCGATCTCCACCTTTAAAAGGGTGGTTCTTGATGGCGGCTTTACGGTAAGTCTTCTTGAGATCGTTCTTGTGAACTCCCAAGATCTAATAGTACTTAGTGTTATCGCTCTTCTTGGGCGCTCTCCCAAACATCTTCTCCTCCGATTTCTTCGAATAAAAAAAAAAAGTAGGAGAACGATTGTGAGCGTGTGGAAAGAAAGAAGCACATATGGGGAATCCTGCTCTTATTGAAGTTGCAGGAATGGACGGTTCAGATTTGCTAATTTTATGCGGCCGATAAAAAAAAGTAGTTTGAGATTTAGGAGTTGACTTAAAAAGAAGGTCCACAACTAATAACATGTGCCATGTCAACATAGTAACCTGAAAACCTGTAAAAAATGTTAGATGAAAAAAAATTATTAGTTCATGGATCGAAATATATCTTATGAAAGTTCAGGGTGCGGCATGAATAATCTGATATAGTTCATGGAGCCGGATGACACTTTAGTCTAAATATTTTGGATATGCATGACTCCAACTAGACCTAATTTATAAAAATTTGTTAAATTTCTATATATATATATATATATATATATATATATATATATATACAATTTAGGATGGATTGATAATTCAGAAAATAACTTTCGGAAGTTATTTTTTGAATTTTTCTGTATTTGGATATTTAAATAAAATAAAGACAATGAAAGTTTTTATTATGGTGAATAGAAAGATTAAAGACTAAATTGGGTTAAAGATGTTTTCTTACATTTCTAGTAAAGCTGTCAAAACGAGTTAATTCAGTCCCTATGGGGCCAACCTGTATCATGTTTGTCCAAAAATGGCCTGGCCCGAGCTAACCCATTTTCAACACAGAGTTGGTATCTTTCCAACTTAACCCGTGGTTGTCAACCCATTTATTAGTTGTTTTTTAAAAAAAAAAAAAAATTATGTGTTGAAACTTTGAGTTTTTGTATAACCTATGAATCAAACCCCTACCCTCTAAGTTAACAACTAACACTTTTACCAATCAAACATATTAAACTTTTGTGACAATCCAAAATTTTATTTTATAAATTCAGTTTTAAGAAATTCCAAAATAGCTATTTTTCACTCCATAAAATTTTATGCGATAAAATCGGTGTTTGAATAAATTATTTTGAACAACTTTTAAATGAATTCAACACTGGAACTTATTTTAAATCTAAAATCTTAAATTTTCGGGTATATTGCGTACCAAGTTTTCGATCCAAAAGTCAATCTGAGTGAAATCGGGAGAAACCTGAGAAACCTAAACTAAGTGGTTGTCTAGAAGGTATTTTTGGAAAAATATATTTTGACCCCCAAACTATTTAAAAATCTCATTTATAGACCTTGGTCCATGATGCTTGGTGGACCCGTCTAAAAACGATAGTCTAAATAAATACTACTTTTGGTTTAAATTTCTCTAATTCATCTTAATTCCTTTTTTTTTTTTGGGTAGCATTGTCATTGTCTTCATCTTCAGTACATGTTCTTTTTATTTTTTATTTTTTTTATTTTGTAGTGTGTCATGTGTAATTGGGTTACTGGTGGTAGCATAGATGGATTCATCGTGCAATGAGATTATGGTGTAGGAAGCTTTAGATTTGCCTTCTTGTGTATATGATGGATCTTAATTGTACTATTAACTCTTTATTTTACAAGCACGCTAACTATTTTACCAAATAGTGTGATGTAATTATTACAATGTATAATGATTAGACCTTTTTTGGTTATTATGCATTTGCCATATATGGTATAACAACTAATAATAACCAACATCAATTTTTTTCTAAGTTGGATAATATAATTAGAATTAATTTTCATAATACACAAAATTTCATATTAAATTCTTAATTTTTAAAATTTTAAATATAATTGGTATGAGTTATAATCTTTAAGAATATTTGGATCGATGTACAAATATAAATTATAACAACGAATATTATATAGTGTTGTTGATGAAATGAGTTGTATCAATTATATTTTCTTGCTTGAATTTGAGCAAATAATTGCTCAATTATCCGTGTGCGCGTGCAATGCACGTGCGATGAACGGATAAAATTTATTTACGAACGGAGTCACAGAAATCTAAAAATCGGCTCTGTCCCAAAATAAGCTCGTAGCTTAAAATAAATAATGGATTGCAGATAAAATATAAGGGAAGCCTTAGCTTCCATATCCATCAAAATTCCATTTCTCACCATCAAAGATCCAAAAAGTAACTACATAACAATAAAGCTTACATATAAGGCAAGAAATGGTGAACCTTAAATTCTCATATAATCTATCAGAAAAATAAATATAAACTAACAAAGCTTCCCAAAAAGGCACTTCTCACAGGCACATTCATTCACTGCCTAGCAACAATCTCATTTTATTATCTAAATATATAATAAAAAAAATTTTATCTTTAATTTTATTATCTAAATATATAATAAAAAAAAATTTATTCGTGCATCGCACGCACATTGCACGGGTAATTGAACACTTATTTGCTCGAATTCAAGAAAGGATAACATTAAAAAACATAAAGGATAACATTCATTCACTTCCAATTAACAATCTCATGCTCTAGCTTCATAACACCTCCCCACTTCATTTCCAACGCAAGTTTTTCCTTCTTCTGTTTTGGATTCTCCTCTAGCTGTTTGCAACCTGAGGAAGAGAGAGAGCTCTAAGTAGTTTAGCTTCTGTTTTGGATTCTCCTCTATTTAAATTTGTTTAGGACTGGGGTTGGGGAAGAATAAGAATACAATGACAATGTTATCTTCACCGATGGTAGCACGCATAATTTTTCCTTTTTTAAAAAAAAAAAATTTTAACTAGTATTTTCATCCGTGCGTTGCACGGAATTGATTTGTTATAATCATTAAGAATATTTGGATCGATGTACAAATCATTTATAACAACGATATTATATAGTTCTGTTGATGAAATGTGTTGTATCAATTATATTTTCTTGCTTGAATTTGAGCAAATAATTGTTCAATTATCTGTGTGCGCGTGCAAGGCACGTGCGATGAACGGATAAAATTTATTTACCAGAACGGAGTCACAGAAATCTAAAGACCGGCCTGTCCCAAAATAAGCTCGTAACTTAAAATAAATAATGAATTGCAGATAAAATATAAGAGAAGCCTTCCATATATATCCATCAAAATTCCATTTCTCACCATCAAAGATCCAATAAGTAACTACATAACAATAAAGCTTACATATAAGGCAAGAAATGATGAACCCTAAATTCTCATATGATCTATCAGAAAAATAAATATAAACTAACAAAGCTTCCCAAAAAGACACAGCTCACAGGCACATTCATTCACTGCCTAGCAACAATCTCATGCTCCAGCTTCATAACACCCGCCAACTTCATTTCCAACGCAAATTTTTCGTTTTTGAGGTTCTCCACTGTTAGCCTGCACCTGATAGAATGAAGAGAGAAAATAAGAAACGATAACATAATTAAACATTCACAAATGAGAAAGATATACTAGTTTTGTGTCCATGTGTATGTATATGTATATGTATATATATATATATATATATATATATATATATATATATATATACTTTTAAAGTATTTTGTGATAAATATACATAATTATATTGTCCAAATATTTAAAAAAAAAAAACATAAAAGCTTATTACTAGACTGATTATATATAATATCTAAATTCTATTTTATATGTGTAATCTTTTATTTGTGATTTTAATTTGAAATTTTTAATAGAACAAAATAATTTTTTAAACATAATATATATGATAAAAGAAATTGGAATTCATTATTCAAATAAAAGAATAAAAATTTATCTTTAAATTATTATCACATGACGTTGTAAAAGAATTCTGATGTAATTATTACAATGTATAATGATTTTACCTTTTTTGGTTATTATACATTTGCCATATATGGTATAACCGTATAACAACGGAATAAGGGTCAAATAGGCCATTCAACTGCACACACTAATTCAATTAGGTCACTGAACCTAAAAAACCAACAATTAGGTCCCTAAACTAACCAATTTCAAACAATTCTTCCAATTTAAAGATTTTCAACATGTCAACAGGTTATCCTTCTAAATTAATTATTTTTTAAAAAATAAAT